CCACCAGTCTAAATTTTGCTCATAGCATTCCTGTGGTTATGTTCTAAATGTTCCTCTGTCCCCTGTATTTCTCAGAAGTTGGTAGTTTGATTTAGGAAGCTTGGTAAGATTCAGGTTCCATTTCCTTTTCTTCAATTTAATTTTTTTTTTTTGACAAAAATCCTTCATGAGTGATATAGTGTTCTTCTATCTGGAAATATATAATATATACTTCTCTCTTTTGTTCTGTGATATTAGCAGTTATTGACAATCATTACATAGATAACATTAATTCATTTAAACATTTCAAGATGGTGATGTTCTAATTTTATGATTCCTTCCTCACTCATTAACTTGAATAGTTCTATAAAAAGAAACTCCTCAACTCTATGTTTACTTTGAAATACACTTCATATAGCAAAGGTAGGATAAATGCTTAATTCTTTCCTTTTATCATTTCAAAATAATGAGTTTGTTACTCCCAAGGTGACCATGATTTTTTTTCAAGTATTATTATGAACTCATGAGTTTAATCACATGATATGTTTCTGTACACTGCAGTTATTAAATTTATTGACGCACAAATAGCCCTTCCTTGGTCAGTGGGAGCGTCTTCAGATTTTCTCTTGAGATCTTTTGACACAACCCTAGTACTCTTTGATAGCTTCCTTGCTTTCTGATCATTGTGACTGGTAATTTTTTCCAGGGCTGCCTTGTACATTTTTTGCCCCAATCCTGAATTATCCATTACTCAAGAAAAAAACAAAAACAAAAAAAACTTGATCTCTTTTTGTTAGAACTGGTAGATAGAGACCATGATCTAGTGCTAGGAATATTCATTGCTACTGGACTGGCTATTATGTTTTAATTTTAGTCACTGTACAGTCAGGAAGGTTTTTTATTTAAATAAATATTTCATGAGTTCACACTGCTACTTCCAATTCAAAATTAGAGCACCAAGGTTTTTACTTAATTTCATTGTTTTTACATTTGTATCTCCTTTCTCCTGTGTTGAAATGTCTCATGCTCAATATCATCATGATTTATTGCTTTATCTGAAATACATGCACAAGTCTCAGAGAATAACACCAACATTCTTATTATAATGACATTATACTTATGATCATTCAAAACAATTTAATATTATTTTGTAGTTCTTTTTGTTCTTAGCATTTATCCAACCAGAAATATGCAGTAAAACTAGTATTTTTAAAGTCACTTTGGATTAAATTCTCTGTGTAAACATGCCACCAACTGGATACATACTTTAAATTATTTATTTGCATTTACTTACAAATTTTAGATTTGCTTTTTTAGGATTTAATTTTGTCTCATATTATATGTAAAGGTACCAAAGTCAAATTAACAAAAAAGGTATATTGAAAGAAGTTTAGGTTCTATACTCATCTTTCTCCTTATCCCATTCCTTCCTCCTCCTATAGGCAAACTTTTTTTCCCTAATGTTACAGTTTACCTTTCTATTTTGTTAATATAAACACACTGTATATACTTTTCACCACCATGCTGTTTCACTTAACATTATATCATTGGTTTTCAGCTTGGGACAACTCTGTACCACAGGGGACATTTGACAATGTCTTGAGACATTTTTGGTTGTCACAACTGGGAGGAAGATTGTTACTGACACCTAGTAAGATTAGGCCAGGGATGCTGCTAAACAATTTGCAAAGCGCAGAACAGCTCCCGCAACAAAGAACTATCTGACCCAAATGCCAATAGCATTGCTGTTGAGAAACCCTGCACTACATCCTGAAGATAACTCCACAGCAGTATAGACATACTCTTTCGATAGGTAGATGCATCACATTTTATTCAACTAGTTCACTATTGATGTTCATTTAAAATGTTTCTAATTTTTGTTCTTAGAAAGAGTATGCAAGGAAGGGCCTTACGTGCATGTCTTGTCATTTTTACTAGCATATATTTGGGATTGTTGGATCAAGGAATAAATGTTTATTTAGTCTTGTTAGATATTTCCATATTTCCCCTCTCCAAAGGTTTTATCACTTTGCATTCCCATAACAATATGTAAGAATGCCTGCATCTTCCAGGCTTGCCAACAGAGTATGCGGTAACACTTTTGGATTTTTTGCCAATTTGATAGATTTTATCACTTTGCATTCCCATAACAATATGTAAGAATGCCTGCCTCTTCCAGGCTTGCCAACAGAGTATGCGGTAACACTTTTGGATTTTTTGCCAATTTGATAGATGAGAAATGGCATCTCAAGCATAGTTTTAATTTGCCTTTCTCTTATTATGAATGAGGCTGAGCATCTTTTCATATATTTAAAGTCCATTTGTACTTCTTTTTCTGCTAAATTATTTATATCAGCTCATTCTTCCATGGGTTAGGAGACCTTTCCTTCTGTATTTTTGAAAGCTTGGTGATAAAAATTGCAAGCATGTTTTCAAATTTGTTATGTATTTTTATTTTGCTCATGGTAATTTTTTGCCATGCAAAAGTGAATACATCAATCTTTTTCCTTGTTGTTTCTGGATGTTAAATCACAGTTTAGAATATTTTCTGCACTTCCAGGTTACAGATGAACATACCCATATTTTAGAAGCAGTATTTGTACGTTTCCTTTTCTTTCATATATATGTCTAATGAGTTTGGAATTTTTCCTGATATGTTATGTGAGGAATGGCTATAATTTTATTTTTTTCCACATGCAGTGCCATCTTTTAGAAGACCATCACTTCCCACTGGTTTGAGAAGTCACCTTTATTGTATACTAAACTTACATATGCAGTTAGAATATTTCTGGATTTGCTATTCTGTTCCATTGGTTTATCTGTCTTTTCATGCACCAATATCAAAATGTTTTAATTATAGAGACTTTACGGTACATTTTTTTTTAATTTATTTTTTATTGAAGCATAATTGATTATACATATTTGTGGGGTACAAAGTTGACTATCAATAGTTGTGTACAATATATGATGGTCAGATCAGGACAGTTAGCTTATTTGTCATTACAATATGTAATCATTCTTTGTGTCCATTAACCAATGCAGTGTTTTTTTTTCAGTGTTTTTCTGGCTATTCTTGCTTGCTCTTCCTAATGAACTTTATAATCAACTTGTGTAGTACCTGAGAGGAGCTTGATAGTATTTTTAATTGGAATAATGCTAAAAGTACAGGTTAACTAAAGGAGCACTGACTTCTTTGTAATGTAGACTTCCTACTAACAAACACAGTTGTCTTTTTTTCACTTGTTCAAATCTACTGTTTTACTTTTCTGGGATGTTTTAGTTTTCCTCAGATAAGTTTTGAACATTTTTTAAAGTTTATACTCATGCTATCCT